TTATTGAACACAATCAAATTATACGTATTATGTAAGTTTTCGTAATTACTTATCACTTTAGATAATGCAAAGTTACATCCATTACGTAAGAGGGCTCAAGATAGGGTGCATACACCCATCAATAACTAAATCTGTACCCTTCATTCAAAAAATCAAGATATAAGGATGGAGAATTAAAGGTCATTTTTATTTTCCTTTATTTTCTTAATCGGCTCATATCTTCTTAGTTTTAACTCGGATTTTTTTTTTTTTTTGCACAGATGGAACGAGTTCGTTGTGCTCTACAAAAAGAGATCCATTTTGAATATTTTTTGAGAAAAAAAATTCTTGCCTCTCGGTGCCAACTGCATACCATATGGTATCTTCTTAATTTGTAATTCGATTTTTAAAATGTTTGCACAAAATGAACAAGTTCATCATGATCTATTGGATCTACAAATTTCTGGGTGAACAAATTACAGGACAAAAAAATATCACACAATACCACAAAATACCACCCTGGTACGAGGTGGTATCTTGTGGTACACAATGTTAAAAGTCGTAAATGACAGTTAATATACTTCTACTATCATGTATTCAATCATCCACAGTCTTGATTTATTCATATCACCATAGTACGCTTTTCAAACCATAGGTATGCTCTTATTTCAATACCAGTCAATACCATATGGTATAGACTGGTAAAAAATGGCTCAAATTTTTTTTGTTCCAAAAATATATCAAAGTGGATATCACCATGGTACGCTTTTCAAACCATAGGTATGCTCTTATTTCAATACCAGTCAATACCATATGGTATAGACTGGTAAAAAATGGCTCAATTTTTTTTTGTTCCAAAAATATATCAAAGTGGATATTATTTTGAAGAGCATAATTAATCTGATCTAACTGTGCAAAAAAATTTAAATCTTGACTTAAAATGAGTGAGAAATCGTTCGTCAAAGATTAATGAGGGGAAATTAAAGGCTTTCAAGAGAGAGAGAGATATTGATGTCATACTGATGTAGACGAGTTACTCATGATTACTCACCATAAGATTACTGACCTGAACAGTTCCCAGGTAAGAGGATTATCTCTTATGTAAGGCATACTAACAAACGTTATACAACAACAGTAAGATATAAATGCATTACACGAGAAGCATATAACGACATTTCTTTCTTAAGTATGTTTAATATTATAGTTACGTAAATATTATGTACTAGCTTTGAACCTTATGCAATTTTGTATCAATATATAATAAGATCATATATTGGGCATCCCTTACATAATATTTTTATCCAACTATTACTTAATATATTCATAAATGTTACATAATAAGCATTTGAAAATGTTCAAAAAACAGAATGAAAAACAAATAAAATTTAAAGGCTTTCAAGAGAGAGAGGGATGTTGATGTCATATAGATGTAGACGAGTTACTCATGATTACTCGCCATAAGGTTACTGACCTAATCAGTTCCCACCAGGTAAGAGGATTATCTCTTATGTAAGGCATACTAACAAACGTTATACAACAACAGTAAGATATAAATGCATTACACGAGAAGCATATAACGGCATTTCTTTCTTAAGTATGTTTAATATTATAGTTACGTAAATATTATGTACTAGCTTTGAACCTTATGCAATTTTGTATCAATATATAATAAGATCATATATTGGGCATCCCTTACATAATATTTTTATCCAACTATTACTTAATATATTCATAAATATTACATAATAAGCATTTGAAAATGTTCAAAAAACAGAATGAAAAACAAATAAAATTTCTTTTTCGTTACTCAATTTCTAAAACCAAAATAGAAAGTAGTATCACAAGTGAACATGCCCTTAATTAGGAAATTCTCCTGGTTAATATAATAAAGTTTGTTGCGGTTACTTAAACCGTGTTAGTATTGGGCCTTGTTGGGCCTCGTCTGATTTGTTGGATTAGGGTTTTAACCCTAAGTTTATCTATATAAGCTTAGCTATCGACTTGTGTGATAGCAAGCCGTCAAGATGTAATCCTAATAAGAGATCAGCCGTGAGCTCTTATGAGCTCACCGTGGATTAGTCTCGATCAATCAATCGATCGAGGATACCACGTAAAATCGTTGTCCCATGTTTTTTCATCTTCTGCACTATCAAATTCTACATGGTATCAGAGCGAATCTCGATCCTTGATTAGGATTTGAGCTTCAATCCTTCCGCTTCCGTGGTTTCTCAATTTGGATGAGCAGTCCAGCTCTCATACGTCCAATTGACCTAGGCGAAGTCCAGTCCGCCCGTTCAATCATCCCTGCATCGTTACCATCATTGTCGGCGCCATCGTTGGCCACAATCAAGGTCTCGAGAGTCTACCATTGTCGCAGCTCGTGGAAGGTCAATGTCATTCGTCAGCGGCCATCGTCGTCATTTATCGTTGTCGCCTATCATTGTTTGCGGCCTCGTCACAGCTGCTGCCCATGTCAGTGACCGCGGCATCTTCTGTAGTTGCAAGTCATCACCTGTCACGGCTGCAACTTCATCGGCGGCTAGTCACCAGCCGACCCTTTGCTCACAGTCGACGGCTCGTCACCATCGGGAGAGAGATTCGGCTCCACTGTCGGCGACATCGTCACCAGCCGCCGGGTTCTGTTTCATCAGTCACTCCACCTCCAGCAACAAGGGAAAGGTAATCACGTACCCTGAGTTCAGCAGCGACCGATGGTGAGTTTTCTGTTCCGCGCCGTATGCACAGATATCCTCGTTCAGCTGTCGTCAATTCTACCAAAGCCGTTGATCTCCCGGCTGCAAAATGATTCGGGGTTCAATCTTTGGCTTCATTGCTTAATTGCAGCTTGCAATTCCTTTAATGCTTTGGTGAAATTTGGTCGATCGAGAAGTATTATCCGCAATGCGGCCGGTTGTCTTCATCAAGGTCATGATGAGTTACAGAGTTGGATGTTGGGAGGAGTTTTGTGAAAGAGGGGCTCAATTATGGCTCCTCCGCAGCTCGTTGAAATGTTCAAACTGAAGAAGCAAAGCTCATGTGCGGTCCATCTCTAAACAACAGTTATCAAGGGTTTTTTCAGGATTCTAGCTTGCTTCAATCCTCGCCACTAAGCTGCTGTTGTTCCATGGTGGTTGGATGGCTTAAATTATATGATTTTCATCATTTGAGGGCCATCCAAAGTGTCTGCGGAATCTACCGCTTACATGCTATGCTAGCTTTTTTCCTCATGTCAGTCAACTCCAATTCAAGCCGAGAGTTATTGATTGCAGTCCTTTATATGGTGGTTAATCGTTGGGTAGTAGAAGGTGAGTAACAACACCAAGATCAACCACTCCCACAGTCACTTGTCACTTTCAATCAGTTTCAACCATCCGGTAACGAGGCCTTCACGTACCATAAATTGGTCGTCCCCTGGCGTTCAAAAGGTAGTACGATCAGAGAAGTAATCGTCCCTTCATCGTCCAGCTGGCATTCACGATCCAAGAAAATGGTCGTCCCCTCTTCCGGTTCATTAGTGGACACATATCAACCATTCATCGCTTTTCAAGCCGGGCATTCACGATGTTCATGCTCCGGCTTGAGGGGGAGAATAGGAGGTCAACATACGACGGTCGACTAATTCAGTCATCAGGTCGACCGCGATGTACCAAATGTGTTCAAGTTCAAGAGACGCAGTCAACCGTCTCAATCATCATCAGGTTGTTCAGAGAGAGTCAGTCGTCTCCAATCAACCTCGTCCGAGATGTTATTTATCTCGAGTTTTGTGGTTCAAGTCATCATGCTTGTTCTTCACATTTACTTCTTCAAGCTCGACATTCTTGTCATTCATGTCTTCGCTTGAGGGGGAGTGTTGCGGTTACTTAAACCGTGTTAGTATTGGGCCTTGTTGGGCCTCGTATGATTTGTTGGATTAGGGTTTTAACCCTAAGTTTATCTATATAAGCTTAGCTATCGACTTGTGTGATAGCAAGCCGTCAAGATGTAATCCTAATAAGAGATCAGCCGTGAGCTCTTATGAGCTCACCGTGGATTAGTCTCGATCAATCAATCGATCGAGGATACCACGTAAAATCGTTGTCCCATGTTTTTTCATCTTCTGCACTATCAAATTCTACAAAGTTGAATAAAAATATGAGCAATCTGACATTTCAAAGCTGAGATTAAGCAGGATAACATCACGTGTACTTAACCCACATTTGTTATTTTAATGAACGTGTTATTTTTTCATATCCAAACTTGCAATCAATTATTATATTATTTCTTTTTTTAAGATGAAGGGATGCTTAGTCAAATTTACAAGAATTGTAAAATTATTTTTAAGGTCATATCGAAAAAGTCAGTGATAAATTATTTTGTACTAAAATTATAACTCAATTATCTCTTATTGCTAAAATTGCCTACCGATTTAATTAAGTCCTATACCTGGTATTTTTCGTCCTACTGGTTGGTACGATATTGTTTCTATAACATCGGAAATGAAGATAAAATCTTGTTATCAATTCATGATCATCTATTCAAAGAATATAATAAGACTGGTAGTCTGGTATCATGTAAGTGTTAGTTTAGATGAAGAAAGAGCAGTCTATCATCCGTAAAGGGGGAAAAGAAACTCATCCAATCACCATCACAAACTGAAGGTCAAATATTAATCTCAAAAGAATTTTATTTTGTATTCATTTTTTCCATAATGTAACGACTATCCCATGCACTAAAGGAAAAACATTAATGAGCACTGCAGTGTACAATAATAGCAGCCAGCACTAGCAGCCACTATAGAGGGGGGGAAAAGTGAAGAAACAAAAGAATTAATAGTGAATTGTATATGTAAAGGGCTCCAAGTAGCTACCCATGAAAATATTAATAAATTAAATAATTAAGCAAGATTGAAAATTTATATAAAAAAGGTATGTAATATAACGAAATGAATTTTAAATACGATCAGTGGCCCACTCCGGGGCTGGGTCCATCATTGGCAGCATCGGTGAAGCTGTTCCCGACGCCTGGGCTGGGCCCCGATTGCTTCACCGCCCCAAGGGCCAACCCCTCCCAGAAGGCCGCATCGGCCCACCAGTTCCCGCCACTGCCGCTGCTCTCCGCATCGGATTTCAGTATATTGAACGGCCGAGCCTCCACTCCGCAGTCCGCAGCCAAGCAGCAGCTGAGTCACGACCGCAACGGCGATCAGAACGCTCAAAATCCGAATGAATCCTCCTCTGGCCATTGGTGGGTTTTCTGTGTATGCTTTTATGGGAAGGCGAGGAATTAATATTAATTGCACGTCAAGTGTTCGAGGAAAGGCCTTTGAGAGAATGATATATGGGGACTGGTGGTTCGAGGTGTATATATAGTGCCAATTAATTGCTAAAGCAAAGAAAGCCGTGACGTTGAACGTTCAAAGGGAAGTTTGTGCTTGTTTCCAAGGAGGAAAGGAAGCAGCGGCGATGGTTCGGATCGGTCCAACCATGAGACTTGGGGGGAGCAGTGTAATTTAGTCAGTTGGTTGGTCCAACATGATAACTCACTCCGACATTGGATTTGGGGGAAGAAGACTAAATAATACCCGAATTTTCAAAAAGCCATCTCAACGAGCTAGCCCAAATTCAAAATTTGGATGGGAACTTGGACTTCTGAGATCATTCCTCAACTTTTGGAATTTGAGTTAGTGGCATTGGCATATGACAATCAGGTCAGGGAGAGGCAAAGGGTGTCCGACTCATTTATTTCACGTTTACTTGATCCTAGTCAATTTAGGTTGTAGAGACGATGCATGATTGCATTGCATGGTAATGCATGTCCATGGACCACCATGTTGTCCATCTTTCTACTTTGGTTCGTGGTTTCTGAAATGACTCCTCTGGTCCAAACTAAGCACCATATTTACTTGCTTGGCCTGGCAAAGGTTTTGACCGTCAAATTAGACGGTCAACTCCATTGATCGTTAGTCAAGCGCCAGGTCATTTGTCACGTTAGGAAACCCAACATAATTTTTTTGGATTTTGGAATTATTTTTCGTTATTCAAAAAATTTCATTATTTTTCGTAAGAAAATAACAGTGCCGACAGTTGTAGACTATAATGTTCTTCCTTATAGTTTAATGTTCATCATCATGAGAACTACAAAGAATCAAGTTTTATCTTATGCAATTGAGTTCCCTTTTAGACATTATATAAAGAACAACTTACATGAATTAGTTTATGGCTTATATTGACTAATTGATGTACTTTTATTAAAAAATAAAGTTTTACTATTTATAATTGACTGGAGATGAGAGATTGTGGAGCACAACCTAGACAAAAATGACGAAGGAATTTAGTAATGAAGGCAGCTTGAGTGAAGTCAAAATGCAGATGTATATGGAAAGGTGTTTGTGCCTGGGATGTACCAGGCGGTTGTGTGAGACTCCACGACCTCTGGCGGCTTGATAGGTGGGAGGCGGTCTTCCGAGACCTGCACGAAAGGTCCTCAGGGATTGCCTGGGACCTCCTCCGAAGCTTAAGTTAGAGAGAGAAGGGAATGGATAAATGTATATAGAGAGAGAATTCGGTTGATCGGAGTTACCATAAATGCTGCCCCTTTGGGGCTATTTATACTAGCCTGGACTTAGAATCAAGACATTTAATGCTGTGTCAGGCGGTCTAGGACGCCTTTGACTTTATTGTCTGCTTTGTCAGTACGAATGTCAGGCTTCTTCTGACAGCAGGATTTTAGCCCCTTTGTCGGGCGGCTTCTGACGTATGAATGACGTAAATGTCGGGCGGTTTCCATGTCGGGCATTGTTAAGCTGACCTTGTCTTAGCCTGTCTTTGTGGGCTTTCATAACCATGGGCTTCAGGCCCACGTATGCCAATACTAGGCCCAACATTTGCCCCTTAGTCGTGAGAAGCTTTGGGTTGTCGCGGCTACCCTGTTAACATCTGATGCGGTTCTGTAACGTGCGGCCCATGGTTATGGTCACTCGTCTGACGCGGTTCTGTAACTTGCGGGCCATGGTTATGGTTACTCGTTTGCCCCTTGTCGCGATAAGCTGGAGCGAGAACGACTGTTGGGGCGGTTTAGATGCGAGTCTCTTTGCTCCTGGCGCTGGCGTTGCCACGTGTCGCGCCTCGGGCGCGGTGCGTTGTCAGAGACAACCCGAACGTCACTTCTGACACTTCGGGCTCCGGACCTTACTATAAGTGTCGCTGAGGATCCTTTTGGCTGCCATTGTCGTTCTATTTGCAAGAAAAACTTGTCTTCTTCTTTCCTCTTCCTCTGTGACGTAATTCCGAGCTCTGCCTCCCGGCGAATTCTACTATAAAGTCGACTCTCCTCCTCCGGTAAGTTCCTTGTGTATGCTTTGGTCGCGGTGACCCTTCTTATCTTTCTTCTGCTCTTTGCCCACTATCGGGACGCCGCTCTCTTTCGTGCGTCGGGTCTCGCTTGGATTGTTCGTGTTGTTGCAGATGTCGGTTGAAGGTCGAGACTCGCCGATCGAGGAAGCGAGCCGAGGGGTGCCTGCCGCCGACGCTCATGATGTAGAGCCGATTGCGGCGGTTCATCTTCCCTCCGCCGCTGTGTCAGGGACTGTGCCCCCTGCTTCATCTGCTCGTGAAGGGGAGCTCCCTCGCCCTACCACGGGTTCCTCTCCTGTCGTGCCGGGCAAGAAAACGACGGCCGCTTCTGGGATTGCGGTTCCTCCCACGCAAGGTACGATTTGTTCTCCTCCCGATCGAAGCGTTTCCGAGTGCGTGTTTGACCTGTCTGGTCTGGAGGATGCTACATACACGATTCTTCGCCATGAATGCATGTGGGAGAGCCAACCGATTCCTGACGGAGTGCTGGAGTGCGGTCCAAAACACGTGGCGGCCTTGAGGCCCGCTCAGGTCCTTCATCGTCTGAACGCGTTGGGACTTCCTTCAGAGTGGGATTATGCGGCTCTCACCAAAGAGTGCAGATCAGGCTCGTGTCCCGAAGGTTGGATTCCTATCTTCGTGGAGCACGTGAAACTGGGGTTGCGATTTCCTCTGGACCCGGTATTGACCCAAACCCTAAACTGTCTAGGGTGCACTCTTGGTCGCCTCTCTCCTTCCATCATCTTTCATTCTGTCATGTATCGCTATGCGTGTAACCGCTTGAAGAAGACGCCCTCCTTCGATGCTTTCCGGTTACTGTATAAGGTTCGCGATACAGCCAACTGCTGGTCAATAGGGAGACGAGACCGCACGGTTGGCCTGGTGACTGGGACGCCTAAGTTGGACTCTCCCTGGTATCGGGAGTACTTCTTTGCCCGACCTACTGGGCAGTGGTACTCGGGAGGGATCGCTCCGCCGACTGGTTTTGCGGTTGGATCAAAGGAGTCATGGTGTTCGTCAGCCCGTTTTTCAACATCAGTGAAGGATCACGTGGACCGCCTTGTCGAAGGCTTTCATTTGAATGTGTTTCCCAGCGGTTCGGGGAGTGCTTACGAGCATGTTCGCGCTTTTTATGGTTAGTAGCGTACATCTTTCGTTGCATTTCTTCTATATGCTCATATGAGTTTACTTATGCTTTTTCTTTGCAGGACTGAGAGCTTTGGCAGATGCGGTTCGCCCGAAGAAGAAAAGAGTGGTGGTGAAGGGAGCTGATCCCCGGGGAGCGGGTCCCTCGGAGGCTCCGTCAGTCGCGGTTAAGCCGGTTCCACCTTCTCCTGCTCGAAAAGCGGCTTCGCCTGCTGCGGCCACTAAGGCAGCGGGCAAAAGGGTGTTGGAATCCTCCCTTCCCGCCGGTGCTCCCAAGCGGTCGAGGACTGGCTCACCTCGCTCCAAGGCGGGCGAAAACCGTGGCAAGGGAGCGGCTCCGTCGATGAAGCTGAGTCAGATTGATCTTCCTCCTCAAGCGGCCACCGATGGTGAAGCGGCTGAGCTCGCGTTCCACACCATCTGCGACCAACTCGTGATGCCCCCTGAGTACACAGCCTCTTCCAGCGGTGACAGCAGGCGCCTTGCTGGAACTGCGACTCAGTTTTTCTTTGCGGTAAGTTTAATCTTGCTTTTAACTTTGCGGGTTGTCATAGGCGATTTTGTTCATATTTCTCGGTTTTCCTGTTTCAGACTCAGATTGGTTTTTCGCAAATCTTGATGAACAACGACCGCTTGTCCAAGACCGTGGATGATCAAGCTGCGGAGATCGCTAAGCTGAAAAAGAGCTCGAGTGAAGGCCGAGAGGCTTTGATGGGGGAGGTCCGTCCGTTGGTGGAGCGGGAGTTCGAGGAGCGGCTGGCTCGCAAAGAGAAAGACCTAGCAGTGGAAAGGGAAGCGGTTAAGAAGGCGCAGTTGGAGTTGGCCCAGTTGCAAGATCGTGTTAAGAAGTCAAGTGAGATGGAGAAGTTGTTGCTGGAAGAACAAGATTCCCTTCGCAAAGAAATAGATTCGCTGAAGCTGGGAAGGAAGAATCATCAAGCAGAGTTGGAGGCGGTCCGTGCTGAAGCGGGTCCAGAGTACTTGAAGTCGGCTGAGTTCGAGGCCATTGACAATGAGAAGTACAAGACCATTGTGGGGAATGCGGTTGCCGCTATTCGCCATTGGTTTCGCGAGGACCAGCCTGCTGCGGTTTGGAGTACCGACGAGATCTGGGATGCGATCGGGGCGTGGTCTGAGGCAGACGTGAATTCTGAGAAGGAAGATGAGGTGAGAGAAGGCGGTTCTCCCGATGGGGATGCTGAAGATGATGGCAATTCCCACAACCGTTGAATGGTTGCCTTTTGTTTATCTTAAATGCCTCTATGTTTGATGTTAAGACAATGGGTGATGAATATTTGTTTTGGCGCTCTTCCATTGGGGAAAGGGCGCCTTTGGTTATTGTGGTGTTCTCAACTTCGGCTCAGTTAACCGCCGCATGGCGGCGTTTATTCCTCACTGGTTGGTCGTTCGGTTGTTTTTATTGTCGTAACGTCTATCTTTAGTTTGTTGAGCGGTTCTGGGACCGTCCTTGTCTGCTTTGATCCTGGTGATCGAACATATGTGCTCAAATCGTGGAACTTTTTGTGACAAAGAGTAAAGACAACAACGCAAACTTCAGTGTATTCCATGAGCAAAAGGGGGTTGCTGTGTCAGCTAACCGTACACTGTTACGAAGGCGGGTG